ACAAGATGAGACGATCTTCTAAGACAGCTCCGGCAACTAAGGTCAACGTGAGTTCATTCTACGAGTCCAAAGCGAACTAAACTTCCCGCCAGAACTTCACTGCTTTTATAGGATTGAAGCTACATTGAACTCCACCAATCAGCATCTACCAGCTGTATAAGACGTCCGCCGATCGTCCGATGTTTCTTAACCAATCAGCGGTCGAGTTTTCAAAATGTTCTGATCGCCGTTTCCATGGCGATAACGGTCGTTCACGAAAAAGGCGGGAAAACCGCGCGCTAGACGATTTTTATTCCCGACACCTCCACGGCCGAGGATCAAACTGAGCTTACTTAAGCCTGTTTGATTCCCTTCACAACACCAAACAATCTTACAAAAATCGTCCGATGTCGGACTGACCCATACATCCGGAACATCCGGAAATTTTACCCGTCTACGCGCAGAGATGCCTTCGCTACCTATGCCTAATAACCGCTTTTGTAAAGCCAACGCAATCCGGTATGGGGTAAACCGTTTCGGGATCCACCCTCCAGTAAGTGTCCAGATGTTTTTCTTTTTCGGTTTATTACCGAAAATCGAGTTGTAATCATCTGACCCGTTATCCCGCTCTGTCTGTGCCGACGTCGGGGGAAGCGGAAGTCCCCTTACTCTCCCGTCCCATCTTCCGCGATCGTACAGCTGTCGCGGGGACGGAGTTTGAACCAGTTCCCCGAATCTCCCATCGAAACCGAGTACTATTCTTACAGCGAAACTTCGTTTTTCTACTACATCCGGCCATTCCCACCGGACATCTAGTTTGTCATCCGGGGAAGACTTTTCCACGAGATCCGTATCCCCGATGTTATATCCCTTTTGCCGTGCTTCCAACTTGTAAGGCACTGCATACTCTTTTCGTTTCACGGCCGCGTGTTTACTTGCCATATCGGGAATCGCTTTGATCGGATCTATCTCTACATTCCTTACTTTTAACATACGGGTCATTTCACGCGTCAATCCTACAGTGAAATTGATCCCCTGATCGTAACAAATCGGTTCGGGAAAACCCGTCTGCGTAAAGAATCGCAACAATACCGAACAAGTGACCATCGCTGACAGCGATCTCATCCCTTCCACTTCTGACCAGCGGATGCCTAAGCTGATTATGCAAACCGCGCATCGATGACCGTTAGATGACGAGGGATCAAACGATTCAATCTTGCCTATGTTACCCACTTGAAACAGGGTTGAGGACCGAGTAAGTGGTGTAACTGGAGTCCTGTCTATGACTAGATCAAGCGCTCTTACTAGGCACCTATAACTATTCTGGCAGTACTTCCGGATGTCGGTCGCCATTCCCGGCCAATAGAAGCTCTCGCGAATGCGACTTGCCGATTTCCGACTGCCTAACTGTTCACCGCACGGAGCTTTGTGTGCTAAATCTAGCACTTCCGCTCTCCGATCTTGGGGAACAACTATCTGCTTAATGGGCCTGCCGAACCAACTATCTTGCCGATATAGTATTCTGTTCTCTACAGTTAACCCATCTTTCTTACACTTAGCGGCCTCCCACAATCGGGAAAGTGACTCGTCCCGGACTTGAGAGTCTCGTAATTCCGTTCCTTCCCCTTTTTCGTCGCTAATTTCACTACGCTCCGCCTCTGAGAGAGGTTCCGGCTCCCTTTTCTGATGGTTTCCGTTGCCATCTACCTTTGAGTCCTTTAAATGTCTTTCTCCCTTCTCCTGGAGTTTCTCCTTTCGGTCTAATAACATCCGGTGATCCCCTTCTGATACTAGAGCGTCCGTGGGTTGGTGTAACTTGTCTGTTACGACACAAGTCACCATCGCCGGCTCACACGATCCTGTGAGGCCTTCCTCCCACAGCCCTATCGGGATCGTTACCGAATCAATCCGGTGACCGAAGGATCTGCCCCGTTGGGTTTCACCCTCCGTTTCCGTCGCCAATCCGGTGACCGAAGGATCCAACTCGTCAGCCTTGTCCCTTCGTTTCCGCCACCGATCCGGTGACCGAAGGACACAACTCGTTGGCCTTCCCCCTTCGTTTCCGCCACCAATCTGTTGATCGAAGGATCCAGCTCGTTGGACTTCCTCCTTCGTTTCCGCCACCAATGATTCCCTTACGACCGAAATCTCATCCCCAGAATCGACTCTAACCGAAAGACGTTTTCTGTCGCCTACCGGCTTGATTCTTTTCGGCGCCTCCTTGACCTTTGATTGGTCACACGCCGTTACCCTCGCTACCGGAAGTTCGTCTTTTTGGGATGTCTTGTTCGTAGTTACTAGCCGTGCCCGTTTGGACTCATTGGATGCCTTCCGCTTAGGACAAGCTCTCCTCCAATGCCCAGCCCTGCCACAGGCACTACAACTAGCCTTGGGGGTCCGTTCGACCGAACTCTGTGTCGAGGGAATGGATTTCCTCGTCATTCCACTCTGAGAATCCCGTCGCTCTCTAACCTCCTCGCTGTTACCGGCCAACCTACTACCTGACACCTCCCCAAACTTCTCTGTGACCTTAGCTACTTCCGCAGGCTTGCCCCATCCCTGGGAACCTGAGTCGGCTAATTCCTTCTTGACTACCTGACCCGCCAAGCTACGCGCCTCAAAAAGCCATCTATCTTGCTCTAATAGGCGTTTTGAGCGTTCAAGCCGTAACTTAAGGTCTTCGATTTTGTCCTGTGATTCGCCTTCTGGCACGCCCGCCTTTACCTTACGAGTGTAATCGCCACGAACTGCTCTACCGAGATCGCCCTCTGCTTCTCGAGTCTCCATTAATTTTTTCCGCTCCAAATCGATTTCTGCCAACCTAGCCTTGGCCTTAGATTCTACTTCCGCCAACCTGGCCTTGGATTCTGCGAGCCTCCTTTTGGCCTCAGACTCAATTTCCGCGAGCTTAACCCGTAGTCTAAGCGCTTCAATGTCCTCCCGAGATTCGCCTCCCGGCACTCCTGCCTTTCGTCCCTTGATCGGCCCATCATTTTCCCACTTCCCTGTTTCTAACCCTCGCGCTTTCACGCGTTTGGGCATCTCTGCGGTAGCGAATAAAATAAAGTTTTACCTGGGTCAATGATTGCCGGTGTTGTTCGGTTCCTTTCGTCGCAGATCAGCCTTTCCGATCCTTGGTAATTCGAAGTACGTAATCCTGTCGTAATCCTGTGTAATCCTGTCGAGTCTGCGCCAGTCAAATTAAAATACTTCTTCAGAGTCAGTTGTATTTAAAACTTGTATATATATTAAAACAAAAACGTATGTACAGTTACAATTAAAGTTCACATATAAGAATTACAAACATTAGATATTAACAAAGTTCAAAGTAATCATCCACTGCTACAGGTCCGTCGGAAAAGCACCTTGCGACGCACAAATTCAAAGTCTACAACAACACAACAAGATGAGACGATCTTCTAAGACAGCTCCGGCAACTAAGGTCAACGTGAGTTCATTCTACGAGTCCAAAGCGAACTAAACTTCCCGCCAGAACTTCACTGCTTTTATAGGATTGAAGCTACATTGAACTCCACCAATCAGCATCTACCAGCTGTATAAGACGTCCGCCGATCGTCCGATGTTTCTTAACCAATCAGCGGTCGAGTTTTCAAAATGTTCTGATCGCCGTTTCCATGGCGATAACGGTCGTTCACGAAAAAGGCGGGAAAACCGCGCGCTAGACGATTTTTATTCCCGACAGGTGTTCCTTTGAGAATAGGCTGGACATTGAGATAAAATTTCATGTGTTTGTTTGATTTTAATAAAAAATAAACTGCCGTATTATCTGTTTAATAAATTTTAAATTACACTTCATTTTCTCTTTACAGTTGAAAATGTAACTACAAACATACATTTTATCTATGAGTTTAAAGTAAAAAATTATTCATAGAAGGATTAGCCTAATGTGGAAATTAGTTGAATACGTACCCTGAAAAAAAATATTTTACTTTTGATTATATATATTAAAGTTGATATAGTATAAAAGTTTCTTTAAAATGGAACAGTATACAATTTAAACTCTTTTTTCATGCAGGATAAAAACGCTTCTGGGTCTTCAGAATGTCTTTGAAATATTTCTTCAGCCCTCTCTATGTATTGTTTAGTTTTTTCATCTTCGATATCTTCGTTGATATATTTAGATACGCCATTGCTTACATTGTTGTTTCTTTCTTTTTCGTACAATTTCACATACTCTTCGTTCCTTCGAAAGAATTCTTCGTTAGCTTTCAACATATTATTGGATTCGGTGGGATCAAAACTTGGCAATTTGCCTCCATATTCTAATGGCAAACAATCTGGACTGATAAATTCGTGTAACGTTTTCATATCCGAATGAAAATACAACTGTAATATAACTTATATTTATAAAAATTACTACATTCTTTAGATTTAAGCATAAAAAAAAATAAATTACAGTAGACCCCCCTATAACGCTTAGATACGTTCCACGCTAACCGAAAATTACGTTGTAGGAATGATTAAATACGTGAGCCAATCGCAGCCCGACAGGTGGGAACTTTACGGACTAAGGCTGTACGAAAGGTTTTCTACTATAAAATTAACCGATTCTAGACTAATTCCACTCAACATTTCCAAAATACGTATAATTTTTTGGGAATAATCTGTATAAACTATGCTATAAACAAAAAATTGTAGGATTACTTACACCGTTCGACTACGCCGTTGCTTAAAGCTGGTTTTCATCGCGGAACAGCACGCGAAACGACGGCCGCAATTTCTGATAACGAATTTTTGGCGGAAAAATAACTTGACCTTTGGAGACATCATTAATATAAATAATTTTTATGGACGTTGAATAAGAAGTGTTTCTTTCACAAGAAATGTATAAAATTAGTGCTGTATTAGACTTACGGTACCTAATTTACATACTGTGCAGACGATAATAAACTCAACTTACTAGCCTAAAATCTCCGTAGCGTGTTGCCAGGCGGCAGAAAGCATATATATAATTATAATAAAGTTACAATAAATTAAGTTAATATATAATTATATATACAGTACCTAATTTATATATAATTAATATATAATTATATGTACAGTACCTAATTTATATATAATTTATATATAATACTAAACAGACGATAGCAAACTCAATTTAGCCGCTCCGTAGCGTGGCGCAGGGTCGGAGGAAAGTAGTTCGGCTGCTCATCCACTATTGGTCCAGACTCTATCAATCTTGTCGCGAAACGACGTTGTAGGAGGTACGTTATACGAAAGTTGCTACAATTTTTTCGCTATGTTATAGGAATTGTCGTTATAGGAACGTACGTTATAGGGGGGTCGACTGTACACAAATTATTAAATTCAGAAATATACTTACCCTTTTCTTAAAGTCATCTGATACAAGCGGAAGTATAATACTTGTAAAGGCTTTAAATATGATATTTAAATTAACGTAATGCCCTGTCTTGTACCGAATTGGATGGGTATCTTTCTGTTAAACAAAGAATTAAATAATTTGAAAAATGATATCGATTAAAATAGTTATTAATCGTTAAGATAAATTTTTTAAATTATTAAATATTCTAAATTGCATTTTCGTGTAGGCCTATATAAAAATTATTAGCACATATAATTTTAAGCAAAGGAACTATTAAAAAATATCCATAATATCCTTAAATCATTTATATTTTCAGATTGTTATCTTGTTTTCTCATTCCTCACTTTCGATTGTTAATTAGGTTATATACTTTATTTATTCTTCCTATATTCGATAAAACTATGAACGGCCATAAAATTTAGTTATGTAGGAATCTACTATCAACAAGTGTAAATTAAAATATGAATATTAAAACAATATTTAGGTAATTAACTATATATTTATTTTTATTGTAACTAATTAACCAATAATCAATTCTTTCATATTGTTTCGTGATATGCTTATTATTTCTATTTTAATTGTTATTATTCCACATTTCGGATCCGACTATGTGTACTGTACAACTTGTCAAATCCGATGTCTGTGAGTGTTATAAACGTTTCCTGAAGCTTTTGTCGATTATGACGATGAACAAGCGTGTGTTCCCAGAGATTTTAAACTGCTTTAATCAGAATGATAAAAGCATATTGTCACATTTGTGTTTTCTTGTCAAGCCGAAACAGAAAAACTTAAGCTGAAAAGCTGTTCCTAGAAAATACCTAGTATATACACGTGAATCATTGAGTATTGATTTTCATAGTCTACTTAAACAATTGTTTATTAATAGGATTTTTCATATTGGTGTAGTTTTTGCTTAGCAAAGAGAGGAGATCTTAATCAAAAGTTTGTTTTCACCTGAATCATCCTTTGACTAAGATCTCCTCTCTTTATTGATTGCTGATTAGAAACTACATCATTATAATAAGTCATATTAATAAACAAAGTCTAAGTAGACAATATATACACAAAAATAACTTCAGTATAATTGAGTGTAATGCAATGTATCCTCTTCAGACTGATTAAATGCATATGTAAACAACCTACGCTCCTTAATATTTATATCAATACCCTGCTGCAAAAAATTTAATTGATCTTAAAGAAGACGTAACAGATACTATTATTAGTTTTACAGTACTGTACCTTCCTTCATTGAAAAGCAGTTTCAGCAAAAATGTCGCACATTAATAAGTTGTAAATCCATTTCTGACATTGGTCAGTGGTGCATTAACTGCCCGACTGAGTGTGCCATTTTGTAATTCATAATAAAATGAAGAAAATGAGTTTCAATAATGTGTCCTTCTAATGTCATTACATTAGAAGGACACATCATTTTCAAAATCTACTCACAGCAACAAGCGTGGCTATTCCATTGACGACACTCGGTGAGAGATATTGGAAATGTGACAAAGTTAATCCCGCACCGTCTATTATAAAAACGATTTTCTTTTTTTGAGTTCGATGAAAATTCATTTGTAAGTCGAAAACAATTGGTACAACACGCCATAAATCAGTCGCACTTGCAATAGAAGGATCCCAATTTCCTGTTAAGATAAAAGTAAGAATACAAGGGTTACATAATTTAATTATTTTAAATTATAGAAATTTTTTCTTTCACTTCTTATTCCAAAAATAATGTGTAAAATTTATTGAACAAATTAATTATGGGAAAACTTTAGTAATCATAAAAAGTTTTAAGATACCCAGAACCAAATTCTGGTTCGTCGTAGTTAAAGACTACAAAATGTGTGCTTTAACCATCCTACATTCATCTTACTCCTTAATGATAATTTAGTTTATATAAAGATTTTTTGCTGCATAACTATAAAATAAAATAAATAAAATAATAATCGTACATACCAAATCGAAAAATGTAAATATATCTTCCGTTTTGATCAGGTTTTGGCAAGAATTGTAAAATATTCATGTCCAAAACGTTCTGCAACTTGGAAGGAAGAAGATTTTTAAAGTATTGAGGATAGTTTGCTCTGGTGTTGTAATATTTTGTAAGCAATTGGAGAGAACTTTGCAAATCAAATTTTCTAGCACGAAGAAATCCCAGAAGAAAAATGTCATCCATACGACATTTGATCCCTACGTCACCTAATTTCAATCAAAAATATTTTTTAACTACATTTTTATAATTATAAATAAATATCTCATATAATTTTACTTGTTATGACACATGTCTTAAATTAGTCTTATTATAATCCATTATGTAATTTAAAGATTAACATAAACAAATAATAAATCATTAATTATCCTTATCACAATGAAATTCATTAATACAGTTATATACTGTTTATAGTTCTTGCATACTTCTCCACTTTTATTTCAGTGGAGAAATAAAACAGTGGAGATTCTTGATCTCAGTATTGTTCTTGGAAAAAAAAAACTTATAGAGAAACTGATTTATCTACTTATTGCTCATCAATAACTGGGTGAAAAGAATAGTTTTAGATCTTTGGCATCACTTACTTCCATTTTTGTACATTGCAAAAAGAAGGTAATGTTCGAAAAATGTCGATCGTATAGACCTTGCTCGTTATATGTTAAAGATTATAGGATGCCAATTTATGTAGTCATATATTTATATTAATATATAGATATAAAATTAATATGTTATTTTTATTGCTATTATAAACAAATTAGATACTTAAGACGATGTAACTAAGTGGTTCATGTCAACTCTTCCTGTCAACTCTGTCTGAAATAACACCCGAGCTTTAACGTAGCATAACGTATGATAGTTTAACTACATATACTGGTACAAAAAATACTTTAGCTGTATTTATAATTAAGATTATTCGGTTTTAAATTATACTACTACTAACAATAATTGGGTATTAAGTATTTATCACGCTACTCTTCGCCTACTATATTTAATTTATTTCAAAGATAGTAATTATTTTTAAAATTTTGGAAAGAAAATTTTTCACTTAAATTAATCAGATTTAGAGTTTATACATAAAATATTTAATGTTGCTTTGATACAGAAAAGGAATAATACAAGCATTATTAGAGAATCAAGTTTAAAACCTGTCAGGAAGATTTTAATTCATCATGGGTAATGCGAGCGATCCGGAAAAGTGATTTTCCATTTCCAATTTATTCTATCAGCTTAAAACTTGTAATGAGAGAACATAGAATTGGCTTAGAGAAATTGGGTAACTCAGACCTTAGTTTCTAACATTGTGCTAGAACAGATAGCATTTATTCCAAGCACACTTAACTTCTAGCATCCATTCTGCCAGAATTGAACGATAGGAGGTCTTTAGATTAGCTTTTTCTATGCCAAGCCAAGATAAAGATTATTTATGTATGCTGAATATACCATAACACGTTGGTTCGCAACGTTATGTGTTCACCAGTGATTCAGTGAATAGAACCCGTTAGTTAGTCCCAGATCATCTGTAGGAGTTTTTCAAATAAATATAGGTTTGCTTCCGTATAAAATACTCCTTACAAGTGATCTTTTTTCTGGTAGATCACCTCCATCAAAGAGCTTAACATTACACGTTGAAAACTATCTTGAAACACTCAAAATTTATGTTGTGTTCGCTTTTAGAATAACATTAAATATAATTCAGTTATCAAAATATACCAAATATTTTTATATATTGTTTAACACATAAAATACAATTCTTTGAATTAAATAATTTTTCCTACAGTTATTAGGTGATGAGGTTATTACTCTTATCACATATGCACGACGTCAAGACGGTTAGGTCCTCTCACATTGTGACTGGATGACTAATTTTCTGTATGAACGGTTGGAGGTGAGATTATCATGTAATTTTCCTCTTCTGTCAGGTCTGACACCCGTTAAGATAAATTTACGCGATTCTTTCATTGAAATTCTATGTGGAGGGTTACAACGAGTGGCAAACGGTTACAACGTGTGTAAATCGATATGGTCCAGACAGGTTCTTAAATAACAAAAGGTTAATGAATCAAAATAAAGTAAGGATAAAATACAAAAAAAGGGATTAAATATATTTAGTTGGCTAACTATTTACATACTTCTAATGGACCGAGAGAGAGTTTACATAAATCGGTTCTTAATATCTCTACTTGACGATATCTTCTGATATATCTTCGAGGAGGGAGGCCTCTCAATAGAGACAGGAGATGAGAGGGTTGACGGACGGAGGTTTGCATCTCAGGGTGAAGTCACCAGAGGCTTATATACCCAAATTTCTTCCCCCAAGCGGTAAGAATTTCGTTCATGTCACAGCTGAGATCACTTTCTAGATATCTCAGCAGCTGGTCAAATCAAATCTTACCAAGGAAATTTAACAGACTGGGCTGAAGATTTGTTTCTTTTTTATCATTCGATTCTTAACACCGTGTAGTCGTTTAAATGTTACGATTCACATACACCCACCATCAGTCGTTATTGCTTGTTAAATGAACGTTCCCGATAGACTCTCACAAAAATATTAAAATTATTTATTTAATTATTAATATTCTAATTAATATGTATAAATAATATGAAAAGACAACACGAATAATATAAAAATCGCACAGTTAGTTTTATTTTCCTTTTATCCTTCGAATGCTTCATTAATATGTCGAGTAACACAGCAATAAACATACACGCAAGAAAATAAAATACACGTACACCTCAGTTTTTATATTTTAATATAGTTATTCACGCACATTAATATCCAGGAGGAATTATATTTATAATGTTCTCTATTTAGTCGATATTTGTTATTTCAAAAACAAAATCAATCAGTCTACATAACGATCGTTTGTTTTGCATATTTATAAACTTAATACCTATTAAAAACTAAACCATTAGTTCATTCTTTATGCATCATTTACACCTACAATGCCTACTTAAATATATAATGTAAAATAAATAAGATTATTTAAATATTATTGCATTTATATTATTTCTAATGACATTGAAAAGATTCACTTACCGATAAGTTTTTTGAATTCTTTCAAGGCATTTTTATCCCAAAGAAATTCTTCTTTCTCTTCTTCAAATATAGAATTTTTTATCTCCATTTTACTCACTTAATGCTAACAATTTAACTCTAAATTAATGAGAAAAAAAAATTTTTTTAATAAGGTTACCGTTTAATTCTGTTTGTCAAATATAAAATAAACTTACTTGACGATACACAATGTTCATAATTCTTGATTAAAAATAATGTAAATTAAATACTTGTACTTACTTTATATTCACAAACTCGTTTTGAAATCAGAATTTTAATAACTTGAATTTCTTTTTATAAATAAAACATCCAATGGAATGAGTTTTTTGATTTGATGTCATAGTTATTTTTCGTTTACATTTTGTTATCTACGCTAAATAATTTATTTGGTTGTTATTTACAAATATATATAAACTGATACTTCTAAGGAAAGATTTAATGCAATATACAGTACTACTTATTTTCAATGGCATTCGTATAAATTAAATGAGAGTTAACAAATTTGGTGTAAAATAATTTTTAAAAAACAGCAGAAATTTCTTAATAAATTAAAAGAAGGATTGTTTTATACAGATTCAATAACACCAAAATTTTATTTGTATTTCATATAACTTGTGTATTCTCTAACATTAAAACTCGACGTGATCTTATAGAATTCGGAATTAAATTTGTTGTGTCCTTGAAGGACAAATTCCTTCCTTGAAGGACCTTCGTTCCCGATTAGCATAACCAGTATCAAGCATTTCCGTAAAAGATCTGCAGTACATTAGTTTATTCATATTTTCTATCGAAACAAGGATAAATTTAAAGATAAATTTTAGTGTTTTCTGTAAGACTATCGATCTTCCTCATGATCGAAGGGTCTGATAGCATTGTAAAGTTCATTAAGTGTTCCATACAGCACTTCTACTGAAATTCAGCGATTTAAATAAGCAAGAACTTGCTAATGATTATTGAGGAAAATACTTCGGGGAAAAAAAAACTTGTTTAAAATAGGAAAATTTTCACAATATAGAGGACACTATCATTCTACTTATACTTTCAACATTTCGTATCACTGTCTATGAAAAAATTTCTGTTTTCCCTCCATAATGAGCCGTCATATTTGATTGACAACACAATCATGCCCGTCATCAATGTTATTAACTCCGTTCTGGAGAAAATATATGAATTGAAATCTAAACTTAATGTTCCTATATAGTTAACATGAACTTTCTCTAAGCTTTCCACACCAATTCTCTGCATTCGTTTATCTAAAACCGTTCTCTAGATTGAAAAAGGACAGTTAAAAAGACAGAAAAACGAACGATAGTGGTCTATAATTTCTTCAAATTGCTGCCAAATAAAGCAAAATATACGCTTTAAAGTAAATGCACTGCCTAATGCAATAATTTAACGGTTTTCTTGTTACGAACAATAGAAAAATACCTTAATTACATCTCAAGTAATGAAGTTATCTTTCTCTATCAAGTTCATTATTTTCTCTATAAATTAGTTTATATGCATAACAGGTAAGGAAACCTTTACATAATAATTACTCAAGTTTTTATATAGATTATATATATATTCTTTTAACTGCAATATTAAAACTAAGATTTTCAGATCGTTAATTATATTTACTTATTAATTAGTTAATTATTTAAATAATTTTTAATCATATTTACTTAATTTTCGAAAAAATATTTTAAAAATTTTTAGTCGATTATTTTTCAGTTTAACTTAACAAATATTGTGATGGAACAAAGAAGAATGATACTACTGGATGTCTGTCCGTTTAATTCGATTTTAACGAAGAAAAATAGATCATAAATCATATTTTTTACATATTCTAGCAGGAAGTGTGCTCTTACCTGGCAGGTATAGGGGAAAATGAAATAAGTAATGTACTTATTGTGTTACTTGATCCGAGAGTTGTGTCTTCTGATTTTCCTCGATTGGAGAAGGAAAAATTTCTTATTATAGAATTAAAATCGCTACTATTTTCCGGACCTTAGAACCTTAATCATACAATAGTCATGTGATTTGTTAGAACACATCATATGACGGCCTTATCTTCTATTACAAAAGTAACAAGTAAATAATATAATTGTGATTACGTGACATTGGATACGAATGGAATTATCTCTGACATTTGATCGTTTGTTATTAGTAATTAAAACAAATATTTTGTAAAAGATATTACAAAACATCTAGCACTTAAAGGTAAAACTGTATAACCTTTCAAGGTGAGTAATTACTAATTATATCCATATAAGATCGCGATGTCAAATACTTTATGAACTATTTTATGGATTATACGAAGATTTTTCAAGTAAATAAATGTTAGCTTGGTAAAAAGCCTCCCCAAAAAGCTGAATTTTTTGGCAGATTACATCCGTGAGTTCTCTTATCCCATCAGAATCTTAACATTACACATTACAAACTGATGTAGAAAATATGATTTATGATCTATCTTTCTTCGTTAAAATCGAATTAAACGGACAGACATCCAGTAGTATCATTCTTCTTTGTTCCATTACAATATTTGTTAAGTTAAACTGAAAATTAATCGACTAAAAATTTTTAAAATATTTTTTTCGAAAATTAAGTAAATATAATTAAAAATTATTTAAATAACTAAATTTATTGTTACTCGTTATTAACAATAAATATTAGGATTTTTTTCATTTTATAATAATTACAGTCGACCCCCCCAATAACACTGTTGATTATTCCGTTTTATACAAATTTCATGTTGTACGAGTCACTTAGATTTTACAAATACATGTGCCGGGCTGTCAACGGCTCACGTATTTGTAAAATCTAAGTGACTCGTACAACATGGAATTCGTATAAAACGGAATAATCAACTGTGTTATAGGGGGTCGACTGTACTAATATAAAACGTTTAATAAATATAGTAAAGTATTATTTGGAGTTTTCATTTTTTTCATTTATACTAGATAAAAATTCAAAATATAAATTAATCTTATATTTATTTTTATTTCATATTGAATATTTTGTAATATATTTACAACGAAATAATACATTGTCATTGTAATTTTTGGATACTTGACATTCCAAAATGAACTAAATAAGTTAAAATATTGCATTTAAATCTTAACTTATTTACTAAATTATATCTGAGAGAAACGTAAAAAGTCTGATAATTTATTCTAATTTATATTGTTATATAATATATATTCTGATTTTTGTCATCAACAAAGACCGGTTTTTCTACTTATGTCGTGGTTTTTATATGGCGTAAGTTAAAGAAATTTAATCTAATTGTCTTTTTTCTTTTATAAAATACTAGCAGACCCCGCCACGCCTTGTTGTGGCTCAAAATGTATCTATTATAAATATATAACATTTTCCCAGTAGGGGAAAATTTTTCGAAAAATCTCTTCTTAGTGTACATTCTGTTGACGTACCCTATTAAAACGCAATCAAAAACGCAAAATCTCGCATCTAAAATAGTATAATAGAAGCCAAGTTTTTCAGAGTAAGCCTTAATCCTGTCTCTCTCCCCCGCGGGGNTAAATGTTAGCTTGGTAAAAAGCCTCCCCAAAAAGCTGAATTTTTTGGCAGATTACATCCGTGAGTTCTCTTATCCCATCAGAATCTTAACATTACACATTACAAACTGATGTAGAAAATATGATTTATGATCTATCTTTCTTCGTTAAAATCGAATTAAACGGACAGACATCCAGTAGTATCATTCTTCTTTGTTCCATTACAATATTTGTTAAGTTAAACTGAAAAATAATCGACTAAAAATTTTTAAAATATTTTTTTCGAAAATTAAGTAAATATAATTAAAAATTATTTAAATAACTAAATTTATTGTTACTCGTTATTAACAATAAATATTAGGATTTTTTTCATTTTATAATAATTACAGTCGACCCCCCCAATAACACTGTTGATTATTCCGTTTTATACAAATTTCATGTTGTACGAGTCACTTAGATTTTACAAATACATGTGCCGGGCTGTCAACGGCTCACGTATTTGTAAAATCTAAGTGACTCGTACAACATGGAATTCGTATAAAACGGAATAATCAACTGTGTTATAGGGGGTCGACTGTACTAATATAAAACGTTTAATAAATATAGTAAAGTATTATTTGGAGTTTTCATTTTTTTCATTTATACTAGATAAAAATTCAAAATATAAATTAATCTTATATTTATTTTTATTTCATATTGAATATTTTGTAATATATTTACAACGAAATAATACATTGTCATTGTAATTTTTGGATACTTGACATTCCAAAATGAACTAAATAAGTTAAAATATTGCATTTAAATCTTAACTTATTTACTAAATTATATCTGAGAGAAACGTAAAAAGTCTGATAATTTATTCTAATTTATATTGTTATATAATATATATTCTGATTTTTGTCATCAACAAAGACCGGTTTTTCTACTTATGTCGTGGTTTTTATATGGCGTAAGTTAAAGAAATTTAATCTAATTGTCTTTTTTCTTTTATAAAATACTAGCAGACCCCGCCACGCCTTGTTGTGGCTCAAAATGTATCTATTATAAATATATAACATTTTCCCAGTAGGGGAAAATTTTTCGAAAAATCTCTTCTTAGTGTACATTCTGTTGACGTACCCTATTAAAACGCAATCAAAAACGCAAAATCTCGCATCTAAAATAGTATAATAGAAGCCAAGTTTTTCAGAGTAAGCCTTAATCCTGGCTCTCTCCCCCGCGGGGGGAATATCGAAAAATCCCTTCTTAGTGTACATTCTGTTGACGTACTCTATTAAAACGCAATCAAAAACGGAAAAAACTGCATCTAAAATGGGATAAATAGAAGCAGAGTTCTTTACGGTAACCTTTTCCGTAAGGCTTACCGTAAAAAACTGTCCATTCCCCATGTTTAACGGAATAATATATAGCCTATGTTCACCCTGAAGTTCCATTCTAAATATTGGTGAAAGAATTTTTGAAATCGGATGAGTAGTTTTGGAGATTACCTGCTGCATACAAACTAACATACATACAAACATTACCTCTTTATAATATTAGTATAGATCAGTTCTCTTTTTGATTTATCACACAAGAAACGGTAAAGTAAATAAATATAAAGCATTTGAATTTAATTAATTTAAGTAATAATTTTTTTTTTTTTTTATAAAACTAAGGTATATATTTTTACGTGAGAATAACACTGCTACTTTATATATCCGTCACGTACACCTAGATAATAGGTTTATACATAAAAAAATTTTAATGATATGAATGGCCTTCGAGTCCCTTTACACATAACTATAACTGAAAACAATAAATATGTCTTAAAACTTAAATTTTAAATTTAAATTAAAGTTTTAAAACAAACGTTAAAGAAGACAATAAGTTAAAAAAGTGTTTATCTTTCTTGTTGTAATTACCTATCTTTACAGACTTCTTATCCTCCTCTCAATATATAAAACGTTAAAATCGTTACTTTCACGGCTATTATATATATAATAACAGAGAAAAAGTATGGGGATCGATAAAAAATGCCCCTTCGAAAACTTTTACATCTTTGCACTCAATCGTCTAAAAATAAAGAAAAATTAGGGGAAGGGGTTTCTTCTGTATGTGTGGATGCTACTGTGTGGGTGGCAGATAAAGCTTAATAACTACTGTGCTTTTTCTGAAATTTGGCATGCTAGCTTTGTGTATAAGGGCATTTATGATATTAAATTTCGATGGTGAACGATGAATGTATGAGAAGATATAAAAAGGATGTGTAATATCTGGAGTGGCGTCGGACTTAGTAATGTTACTCGTTATTAGGATTTGTATTTAAATAAAATTCAACCTTTCCTTATAAATTAAGTTTAATAAGCATAGTAAAGTATTTTTTGTGTTTACATTTATCTTTTATACTAAACATAAATTCAAAATCTTATATCTATTTTCAGGTGATTTTGCAAGTTTGAATATTTTGTAATATATTTTAAACGTAATAATACATTGTCATTCGAATTTTTTGAATATTTGTCATTTAAAATGTATTAAATAAAGCATAACATAATTCTCTTTTTAAATGTAATTCATGAACGTTAAAATATTGCATTTGTAGTTTAACTTTTTTAATTATCGATTTAATATTAATTACTAAAAACAGTTTACAACTATCTCGATCATATAAATGATAACGGTTCAAGAACGTTCCGTCTTTGTTCTAAGATTGATTACGTAAAGGTGGTTAGAAAAGTGACGTCTGCACAAAGTTTATCCTTCATTGTACAGACCAGTTTTGTGGTGTGTATAATGTGGACGGCCTTATATATCAATTAAGCAATTAACAAAAGCCCATTAGGTAAAAGTTACGTTGCAGAATAACTTAGAATTACAATCATTCTTCTATTAGATATTACAACTGATTGAATAACTTTAATTTTGTATTTTCCACAAGAACCCTTCGTAAACAGAAAGGTGAGTAAATTCCTATAATGTTTCTAGTTTTACTTTTTACTACTTTTTACTACTATAAACTACAGGGGAAAAATATGAAATTGATCAATAAAATTACCGTTTCCCTACATTATTATATTTTTGGGGTCAGGGGTCATTGTAACGTCGAGTAATGCAAAACGAAAAAAAAAAAAAAATCGGAGTATTCGCCTGCATTTATGGATGTGTGTGGTGGGTCAGGATTTTTTTCATCTCCTTTGAATCTTAATATCTCACTTGCTTTGTGTCATAAGGTTTTGGAATTTAATAGGTGTTTTTGTATATTATCGGAAATGATGCTAATAAACTTTAATGGCTAAAGGTCTAGGGGATAAGAAGAGAGAAAGAGGAGGGTCGTGTGTTGTATTTCGAGTAAGGTCGGACATAATTTTATTCGTTATTAGTATTTAGTATGAATGGAATAAATTTAAAGTGTAATATTTAATAAAAACAAAGTAGTATTGAAAAAAAAATTAAAATTTTCACTTGGCAAATAGTCAAGTGTGTGATTTAGTTATGAAATCTTATAAGACTTTGTTGTAGTTGATTCATTTAAAGTTTTCTTTGTATTTTCATCGGTCATATTATTGTGTTTTTATCTCTCAATTTCGTTACTTTTCAAAAATAATTTTAACAATATATATTACGCGCGGTTCTGTAAGGATATATCGTTAATAGATGTGCAGGTGCGACTGAGCAGAACCTTATAGGAATAACAGCTTCGACTTCTTTGTAAGAGGGCATTAGACATGTATATAACATGTACAGTACAGTAAGTACCATTCATACATAGAAATGAAACGTTTGCATTTTTGTTTTTTAAATAAGCCTGCACAAACAGTAAGAAAGCTTTCGACTTGAACACGAAAAAAGCTGAGTAAGAGCACAGAATGAAACACTTAAACACGAGTAAAGGCTGGATGTGGAACCAATTCTGACCTCAGATTTGATGTCAAAATTTAAAACATGAAAGCCGTTGAATAAGAAATGTTTCTTTCACAAGAAATGTATAAAATTACAGTACTGTATTAGACTTACGGTACCTAATTTACATACTGACAGACGATAGTTAGCGTAAAAATCTCCGTAGCGTGGCGCCACGCTAGACGGCGGAAATTATATATTTAATTATAACAAAGTTACAATAAGTTAATATATAATTATATATACAGTACCTAATTTATATATAATTAATATATAATTATATGTACAGTACCTAATTTATATATAATTTATATAATACTATCCAGACGATATAAATCTCTCCTTAGCGTGGCGCTACAGACGGCGGGAAAGTAGTTCGGCTGCCCGATGACGTTTTACGTAATTATAGGAGTTTTTTTTACCTTTTCTTTTACGGATACCGTCACAATTTTTTCGTAGTTTTATAGGAATCGTAATTATAGGGACCGTAATTATAGGGGGGTCGACTGTACTTCCTTTGTTAAAGAAAGTCCACAGCCCGACTAACCTCGACAGCACTACCGATTCAGAAGTTAGTGGCGCTGAGATCGCCTCGCGACATTAAACGTCACATTCGAACCATCGATGACGTTGCTATTCAAGATAGATTTCAATGTCATGAGGATAAGATACTACTTCCATTTATCTGTACACGTCGCAATTGAATTTGTGAGATCGAGGACCTGATTTTGCGCTAATTTAGAGAAAATTTTAACATGTTTCCCATAGCGATCGTTAATCCATATTTTTTCTAATGTCACAACTCCTGCATTTCTCATAGTGAAAAAAAAAGCCGTCTTAGCGCTCGTATATTTGTAAGAAAGAAAGTGTATTGGGAATAATAACTTGAAAACATTATAAAGTGTTTTTTTTATATTAATAACGTTTAAACAGCTAACAATAATCTTGAAAGAAATTCCGACTTACAAAGCTACAGTCTGATCAACCCAGGAAGGCGATGGACTAGTTTTTTGACTATTGGCTGGGGGGTAAAGATGCATCACGTGACTGGTCAGCATAGTGTCAACCAAATGCTAACTGACTCACATCTGCGAATGATTAGTAAAGTAGTTCAACGCCTAAGGGGAGTGCCTTCCCGGGTTGTTCAGACTGCTGTAAGTACTAGTTAATTACTTACTGCATTTATTGTAAAACAATCTCTAGAAATAAAATTTTCTGTTAAACCGCTTATTCAAGCTATAAATAATACATTATTGCTTTTTATGATCGATCGGATAAACTTACATTTACATTAGTATTTCCTTTATCATTAATATAACTAGAAATCTACTAAAACTTGCTCTATTTTTTATTTTTTTTACTATAAATATATAAATCTGAAGGTTCGTGCCCGGTAAATTAAGCCTCAATTATTAATTTTAAATTTTAATTAGAGTTTTTATTTAGAATATAAGTAATAAATCTGAATAATTTATTCTTTTAGTTATATAAATGTAATTTGAAAAAAGATTTATAAATGTTTTAACAAAGATAAGTACATTTAAAGTCATCTTTAGTAACTGCTGATGTTTTAATTTTAAATTTAATTAAAAGTTTTATAATATATCATTAGCAGATGAATATTAAAGATTCAATATTTCCGGAAGAAAAGGAAGAATTTCCTTGGGATGAGAAGGCCCTTAAAGCTTTTAAAAAAACTATAAGTAAGTAAATACTTCATATTTTTCTTTCAAATTATAATAAATGCAAACGTATTTGTTTTAAATAACTTTTTCTATAGTCTAATCTTAATATATATAAAACAAAATGCTGAGAAATACCATATTTATGGACTAATATCAATATTAACAATCTAAATTGTTCAAGAAATTTTATATTTAAAATTTACTAGTTTAAAATTAATTTTCTTTAAATTAACCCAATATTATACAGTCTTTATACGTTGCATTCTTGTAAATGATAGCATTTGTTTACCTTGTATACGGTTACAAGGTAAACAAATGCTATTATTGTATACACTATTATATACTTATTTTTAAATTCTTACATTTATTTTAGTTAAGCAATAGAAATCTGTCAATAAAGCAAATATTTCCTTACTTACAACATGGTGATTACTTCAATTTACTTGAAAATAAATTCTCCAGTAATATTACAATATTTATAAATTTAAATTTTTAAACGTCACTTTGATTTAAATGTATGTGTACTTAAAGGTCGTTCATATTACTATATTTTCTATGATAATATTAGTTAGTTTTTTATATTACACATATGAATTAGTAGTGTAAATGTTATGTAAATAAATTCCTGATTTATTTCTATAAAAACATTTGCAATTAAATTATTAAAACTTCAAACACTTTTATTTACTTTAACCTTTAGTATCCCCGCTCTGTTATAGGGGAGATCGGGGCAACTTCGGCATGCGGGGCAAGTTTGTCAAGCGCTTTTTTTTAAAAACAAATTAAAAGGAGACTTTGGTTATAGGTTAGGCAGTTGAGTTTTATTGGTGGCTTGTTGAGTGTAGTGTTTTTATTGTTCTCCAACAAGCGTAGTTGAATTATCAAGCAAATTTTCATTTTCGTTCAATTCCATATAATATTTTTTTTCCATTTATATTGAATTGGCAGGTTTTGTTATAATTC